TTTTACCAAAACATATTCACCACAATTAGAGAATTAAAGATATCATCATGAAATGAACAAATCTAAGAGAGGTCTACACAAGGTACATATACACCAAGTATCAAAGCAATCAGACTTTTCAAGTTCTAGTTTTCAAGAAGAAGCGGAAAAAGTAAAACGTTTACGCAGATAGATGATGGCGGACAATCACTCAGTCGACAGCGGAGCTAAAAAATAATTAATTGAAACACCAATTTTTGTGAGAAAACAATCAAAGTGGTTTAATAGTTCATTCATGTTTGCATGCATACCATTCCAAAAAGTCTAGAAAGATATTCATGTGTTTGAATAAGTAAGTCATCAAAAATTGTGTACCAGGTACATGTAGAAGCAAATATACCCAAAGAGTTTCAAGATTTCATCATACAGGAATAAGCTATTTGAAATCAAACAACAATCAATGCAATTTGTCAAGGCCAGCTAATAAGGAAATGAATAACATCTCTCGTCTGATATGTCTAGCATAACAGGAAATTGAGGCATGATGCACCATGAGATAGCACCTTCATTTTATCACCAACAGTGTTTGCTCATGTACTGAATAACATTCTTCATAAAAAGTCATTTTAAAAGTGACGAATAATTATTGATATACACAAGACATTTACTTTTGTTTTATTCAGTTCAAAATACTTTTCTGGAATTATTACCATAGGAATTAATATTAAATTATTATTATATAAATATTATAATTTACATACGACTTTTTTCCCCCTATGTTCCTGAACAAAACAATGACCAATGATAAATAGCTGAAAAATCACCATTTTTAGTTCACTGTCCATATGTTTTTATGTGGATTTTGTGAGCAATGCCAAAAATTTAAGCTATTAGGCAACTACCTTAAGTGAAGTTTTTTTGTTAGATCTTACTATAAATGGTGATGATGCGAAAGTGAAACAACTTTCATGAAGTTCATTTCCTTACATATGAAAAACTACGATTTTAACTGTAATTGATGATGAGAATAGAAGTTCCTGTGTCAGTTGACCTATGTGACCTCAGATCCGACTAAACTTTCCAACCTATGACTCATTGACTACATACCTTGATGTACTGCGTCCACACATGTAAGTGGAATATCATTCTCAGAGACCAGGATGTTTCTTTGTCCCAACTCCATCTGAAAATAAAGTCATAATAATATTGATTAAATACTAATATTTTCAATTTTCTTCAAATTATAAATATGATATTTAAAAGGACTATTTCCAGAATTTAAGTGGAACAAATAGATGTTTAGGATTACAGTGGAAATACAAAGTGTGCACATCGAAGATAGAGATTTTTTTTTGTTCATGGCACCTTGAACTGCAGCTCCACAATCCACAGGATTACATCATTGCATCATGGGAAATGTAATTTGAAGGGCCAGACAATCGTTTTTACTATGTAAACTACCGGTATGTATAGTTTACTACAAACCTTATTGGAGGTGTTCTCAACGAACACTATAAACTAACAGTTTAGATTAACACATTGATTTGAATAAGCTGTGATTAGTGATAGTGATTATTCATTTTGAAGACTGTTTAAAGTGAACCTTCGACCAGAATTATGTTATAATTATCAATGAACTAGTAAACTATCATTGAAATCGTATTCTCATGGGCAGAGCTACATCACAGAAAGTTCATGTCGCTAAGGCGCACAACTACTGTATCATGTATTTCTATGGGCTATGTGCAAGTTACTGTGGAACACCAGTTGTAGAGCTGGTAAAACCAGCTAAAGTTGCAGAAACAGCACAAACTCAACTTTGAAGCTCTTCTGAGCACATGTAGGAGTAATCTTGTTCTTCTCTATAGTCTTTGGTTCAGGGGAGTCTCAACAACTATCCCAACATACTTTGTTTTCACTGTGGTGCCCGAATATACGCCTCGAGAATTCAACAAATATGCATGATTGTATGCAACAAAAAATACTTCATGCATTTTGATTATCAAAACGAATAATCTTGCAGAACACGCCTACCAAATGCGTCCACACAAAGTGTAATTTGCATGTCTTATTTTTTAATTCACTAATGTTAATATTGAAGGACGGGTTCTGCTGTCTTTTTAATTATTTGTTTGATTTCTTATCAAGTGTGTTTCACAGCAAAATTCAAATCAATAGTAACAGTTTTTAACAGTTTTTGTCGCAAATGACAAAATTCTCTGTATTTGCATAAAACATGCAGATTATGGAGAAAATTGGTTAAAATAACATATATATATATATAACGTGTATATTGTTGCAAGATGATTTTTGTGACTCGTTTGTTAGATAGACTTTGATTTTATTACAAAATAAAGAATTTAACATTTTTCTATTTTTTTTTCTATATTTTCCTAATTTTGAATTAATGGATTTTCTATGAAGGTCTTAATCGAAAAGCTTTGTAAAAAAAAATTTAAAAAGTTAAGTAGGTTCACTTTGTGGAAAACAGACTTCACTATTCAATATCATCAGGGTACATATACGGTACTATACGTTTATAATACGGGTAGATCAAATCACTGATTACAAATAAATGGTCTCTCAGGTCTATGCATTAAATAATGTATTGTTAATGATATGTAAATAACCATAATACTGGAAGACAGTACATGTCTTTAATGTGAATAATATCCTATTACATCACTGACATTTCAAATACCTCTTCTTATAGTTTAAGCTAGTCTGGCTAGGATGAGATTTAAAGTGCAATTGTGCAAAGATTTATTTATAGTTCAGTACATAAGTACATCCCCGATTGAAGCATGCATGGAGCTTGATATTGTTACTTATACAACTTCTCTTGCCTCTATATGTAAAATAATGGAAAATAATACAAGAATGATGACATCACCACCGGGGTAAATTTAGTTGTGAGAGTCCCGTCACAAATTTAACATTTTTATATTGAAGAGTTGGTCTAACTAGTATAGGCAGCTTAATACAGATAGGAGCTTTTTACAATACTGGTTTTATAAATATTCTACCGGATTCTGTCGTAAATTCACCCTGGGCCATTAAACGGCGGTTTGGGTTTTTAAACAAATAAAATGGGACCAAGATTTTTCGGCAGTTTTTAAAGTTGTTTCTCAAATATTTTGGCATCATTTTTCAATCTAAAAATAAAATAGTCTTATTTTTTTATTTCAAGAGTATGAAACTCATGTTGTTTTCCCATCAAAATCCAAGCCAAAAGATCGTAATACAACATCGACAAATCCCTTCCGCGTTGCATTCAATAACATTAACATATTTAAATGAGCTATGACAATTTGAACACGTTGGCATCATCCAGCATTTATGGAGATATGGGTCTAGAAACCCATTCATTAAAACAAAATGGCTGCCAGACAGCCATTTTGAATCCGATCTAAAAAATAAATGATGTG